AAATTTATGCGAAATAAAAAAAATTCATGCAGTTTGGATTTTGGAGCACAAAGTTATGGTTGTCCAAAGTTTGACGAAATCGGAAATAAGCTCGTTCGGGGTAGCAAACGACATTTTTTGGGACGAAGGCGAGACCAAACTACCTTCTGCAGTCTTCGGCTTGCAAGATCTCAAAAAGTTATGCGGAATATATAAAAAAATCACGACGATCGGATACCCGAACACAAAGATACGTTCGTTTGAAGTTTCCACCTATGTTAGGATTTTTCAAAAAAAAAAAAAACAAACAAACCGCATGGTGGGTGGTGCGGTTTGCAACCAAACCGCCACGACCCCATGTGGTTTGCAAAACCGCCCACTACCAGTGCGATTTTCATCGAAAAGCGCGCCCCCGGGTGGCGATTTTCGCCTAAACCGCTGGTACGGGTGGCGGTTTTTGGGAAAGGATGCTATTTTTGGAATTTTTTAAAGTTTGATGCTATTTTTGGAATAAAAAAAATTAAACAGTACTATTTCTGAAAAAATCCCTATAATTTAGGCCAATTGTTTTGGCAGGGAGCTCAAACTCCTATGTTTTGGAGAGGAGGACATGGAAGTTACTAGGTCTTCTGAGAAAATATATTGTCTAGTACTAGATTCATAGCTTCTAAACCTAAAACTACACCTTCAATACCTGATACAATATTGAATGAAGCTAGCTAGCTAGCATTACTGGTTACAAGAATCAATTACCTTGGTTCCAAACCCTTTGCAATATAAGGCCAGAGTACCAGCAATCAATTATGCCAAATTTTGGATGCCCCACCTACTACTATTCATAGGGGTTTGCAACGGTTCGGTTCGGTCCGGACCGGACCAAACTCATGAGAACCACGGTCCATTAGTGAAAGACATGTTAGGACCAAGGACCGGACCATTCTTGCATTTGGTCTATTTGGTCCGGTTCGGTCCGGTCCAAATATGAGCTCGGTCCACCATTTCTTCAGTAATTATAAAAATCAGGAGGACCAAGGACCGGACCGCATTTTACTCGATCTGGTCTGATCCGGTCTTAACAACGGTTTGGTCCGGTACGAACCGGACCATTGCACACCCCTAACTACTCATAAGTTGGCTGCACAAAAACTCTTCCTTACATAACAACTCCTGCCAAGTCGTGGGTTTGCTCTTCTTTCCAGTCAATTTCATTGGTAAAATGACACCATTTTCAGATTCATATTGGACCGGTTGTCAAGAAAAAAGATCCATCGATCATTGGCTTTGTCTATTCCTAGAAATTTCTTAACAAATTAGAAATCCAAGAAGTTGCGGACTGCCACGAAATCAAATGCTGAAAATAAAAAGGTTTTGGTTATTATTGTACGAAAAAGGAAGAGAGAAGGATTCTAATTGAGAAAAGAAGTAAATAGTTTATCATCTTATAAGATATAAGAGGATGAACCTATATTCTAAATAAAATAAAATATCTTAATTAATTGTGTGTTGAGGTATCAAAACACCCGGGCTTACGTGATTTCATTAACTATGGTGCTAACTTAACTTTGACGACAAATGGCTATTAAATTGTATTTCAAAAGTTTTAGCTACGCGTGTCAAAAAAAAAAAAGTTTTAGCTACGATCTTGCACAAAATGAAATGTTTGGTCATTATTTTACACAAAATAAAAGGTTTTACTATTAAATTGATTTGATATTTTTGCTGACATGCCACAATGCAACACCCACATTAGCGTCCATGTCAGCATAATTTGCCACGTACGAATCAGTAAACGTCTGATTTGATGGAAAGTTCACGATTTGACTATTACATTATTTTTCAAAAAAAGGTATTATTTTGTGTAGAAGGAAAGGTTTGACAATTATATTGTATTTATTTTTTTGTTGAAGCATGAGATGGCATAAAACATAGTTTTGGCTTGGCAGAAACTTTTACAAATATTCAACTTTAAGAGTTATACTAGCTTTATACCGGTTTATTTAGTTTTTTTTCTTCTTCTAAAATTAGAGATATCACTTATACATCTAACTCTAAGCCTATTTTACTCATAAATACGCACGTTTATACTAATTACTAGTCACGAACCCCGCCAGTTGGCCGGATTCATTTGGCAATCACGTATATATCAATAGCAATTTGTATCTGAACTACGCATTAGCATAAGAAAATCTTAATTCATCAAGTACTCTAAGCGATCGAATTTATTGGTGGAATAAGAAAATCCCAATTATTAAATTCGTGACCAATTTAAAAGGATCAACATCATACTGTTTTTCGATATTTTAATGACTAATAAAATAAAAATTGTTACAAAAATTAAAGAAAAACCCCATGCAAATGAATCGACTCCTAAAGACAATTTAAAATGACTTCTAATTACTCTTCATCATCTACGAATACGGCACGTTTTCTTCATGAGCAACATCATCGTCTCCACTAATCATAATGTCTTCATCTTCATTAGTGACATTTATCTTCTTCTTTTTTTGGTAATCATTAGTGACATTTATCTGCATCATTAATTGTCTCTTCCTTCTTTTCTTGCCTTTCAATAATCTCTTTCTTTTTTTCTCTGCATTTCATTAAACAATAAAATTAAATAATAAAATATTTATAAATACAAAGCATCTTTTTCATTAGAGTAGAATTTACCTTGTCCAAGGTATGAACAATGTACATGATATTTTATTTCTTCCCGTCACCGATCTTTATATCTGTCTCATGATGAACAATGTCTTTCTTCTTCTTAACAACAACAGCCTCATCTCTAGTACCATATGCATTATCTCCATCATTACCAGTGTCATTCTTATTATCATGCATCATCATTATTAATGTAGATAATTGACGTTTATAAGTACAAGATATGGTATCATTTTATGAAATCATAAGTGATTAGTATATATCGGAGATAAAATTGAGGCTTGATACAATTGATCGCACGTTAGTGGAAATGACGCAAAGTTTCACATTGAGTACCCAGACTAAAAATTAAAAAGTTGCTATATTTTCAATAAAAGGATGTTCTCCATCTGTTAAATTTTATTCATTGAAGGCAATTCTGTTAATTAAAAACTCCATTCTTCATCCGAAAATTGCAAGATATCAATTAGAAAGAAAAAAACTAAGTATGAGTTGTTCATGGTATAAAAATTCATATCGAGTAAAGTATAACACAATTTTTATTATTATTGATCGTTATTTTGATGCAAGTAGAATTTACATCGTTCAAGTCAGAAAGATTGTTTGTATTATGTTCTTCCTCGTCCTTCCTATCCTGAAAATTGTGTATTCACTTGTTGGATTTACGATGTTGTAATCCTCTGAGGTTGATGCCAAACTTCAAGGCCATTTCCTCTAAGAGATGAGAAGGTGGTGGTCCTCTAACTTTATCGTTGTCTTGGAATAGCTTTTCAGCTGATGTTCCAAAAAATCGAGCTCCCACACAATCCATAACAACAAAGTCCGTCTCTACTATTTTGTCTGTAACTCGAAGGTGGATCATGAATCTGTATAATGATGGTAATGTCATAAACAACAATAAAAATTGTTGAATTAGTTTATTGCATTGGCACCATTTCTTTTCGGCTTAGTAAGCTAGCTAGCTGGCAGACCTACAGTTGGTAAATGCAAAAACTCAAAATTATTCAATTACTAATAGGAATAGTCTCATAGGGTAAAATAGGTGGAAATAATGGTAATTTATATCATTTATCTTATTAAATTTCAAACTTATAATGCATAACCAAATACGATGATTAGACTGTCGTGAATTTTACCGTGGCGCAAAATTAATAACTTCTGAAATTCTTGGATTTGCTAGCAGCAAGGTCGCTCCAGTTGAGGAGAAGGTGTTCTTGCCTGAAAATTTGACAATCATTTAATTAATTTTCATTAATTTGATTTCAAATGTTTGAATTAATAACAAATTAATTTAGATGTTTCCTTGCCATTGAAAGGAGGATAACATAATAACATATTCAAAATGAGAGGACGATCCCCCACATTTTTAAGGATGACATTTAATTGGGTAAGAATCCTACCAAAGAGAGTTATCTTGACAACCCATATCTCGTACCCCAAACTATATATTAGTTTTACAATTAGAGTTTAAGTAATGCGTGCTATTTTAAACGAAAAGCTAAAAGAATTACATAGTTGTGAAGTTTTTGTTGCATCTTTTACGGGTAACCTTTCCAGTGAGTCTAGTAGTTATGAATAAACTTCACTACTTAATAAGCTGGCCAACAATATATGTGGAGTTAAAAACTTAAAAGTGAATGGTTTGGCTCTATATGCATAAGTTTGAAATTAAATTTGAACCGAGAGTAGTAATTCGAACCTAAAATAAATTTCAATAGGTTACATTTCTTGTCAATCGCATCTTGTTTGATGAAATTAAACTTGTAAGTGGATATCCTTGTTGCCAGAATGACCTTGAAGTTCTTGATGGTGTAGACTCTCTAGTCATGAAACAGAGGCTGAAAATCCTTGATTTTCCTTTTGGAGATTTGGATCCAAATATTATTACCTTGAAGAAGTAAAATAAGCATATTGATAAAACTGTGAGATTTTAATCATAGAGTTTTGATTTGTGTGGTTGTAGTTAGTATACCTTTGAGTCAATAATTATACTACCGGTACGAAGAATAACATGTGTTGTGATAGATTGTCATCCACTTCCTCGAAACTCGACATTGAATAATCCAATCTCACTTTTGAGTTGTCGGTCGGATATCAATTGAGATTTCATATTGAATAACCTTTCATTAAAACATCAGTTAAACAATCAATTTTGTTTCACCATGGATCTTAGAGTAACTCTCAAAAGACTTACTAAGCACAAAGTTAGAGGCATTTTAGTGTGCTTTATAGTATTGGTGCTATAAAACGTTTACAGCCATTAGATTATCTTCAAAATATATCAGCCATTAGATCTTATTTAGATTATTAATATATTGTTTTATTTGTTTATGGTCAACCGGTACAACCGGTTGTACGTGAAAAAAGTTGGAAACCCATTCTCTTATCCTTCTCCTCTCCGAGCAGATCTGAGACCCTCTTCTCACCGCCGACATCCATTCTTGCTGTCACCGGAAATGCAGTTACCGACTCCAACTCCAAAGGCAGCGAATCTCTTCCTTTGATCTCGCATCGTCTCTCTACTCTTTGACCATCCCGTACAAAAAATCGGAGCGTTTTTTTTATTATGATCGGAGCCCTATGCCTACGGCGACGAGGTTCTTACCTCGAGCAGCTACTCCCGTCCTAGCCCCGATCTGGTCCCGCTTACGGATTTCAGGCCGGCGGGGGCATGCCTGCCGGTGATTCTGAGTACGGATCCAGATATGGTGGGAGGACTGAGATCGGTGGCGGAGGCGGATATGGCAGGAGGATTGAGATCGAGTACGGATTTGGCAGCGATGGCGGCGGGAGGACAGAGACTGATGGATGCGCCACAATGATGATTACGATCACGATGACAAGGAGGAGATGATCCTTCAGAAAATCACAAGGTAGTTCCTTTATGCAGAGTCTTGGAGCTTGGCCAGCGGTACCTTTGCCGAGTGCCAAAAAGATTTTGATTAGTGTCGTGGGTTTCTCCTTTATGTTGATTTCAGAATACTGATTAGCAGAGACATTTATGACATTGCAGCCCTTTGCTCTGCCAATGAGAGGTAATTTAAGCGGAGCCATCTTCCCATTGATTCTCTGTTGTTGTTAGGTTGATTGAATTAAGGGTTTGAGTGTGGTTCTGGTTTGGGTTTTCCAGATCGTTCTTCAAAGCTTGTGGGTTTGGAGATGACATTTTGGGATCTACCACAATGATGTACACAAGGACTGCTCCAACCTGTGATAATGCTGGTGGAGATTATCAGAATCACATGGCGAAACGTGTAGGTAGAAAACTCTTGCTAATTCCACCTCCCAGAGAGTTACCTTCTCTTAAGGTAACTGTTGGAGAATCTGCAGAGGACTGAGCTTGTATAGTTCAACTCCACAGCCATTTGGATAGAATATAGACTACAGCAGAGATCCCAGTCCCAGGTTAGAAATCGATTGTTGTACTCTGGTCTAGTCTCTTAAATCAATATATTTACTCGTTTTCGCCATGTGGGATTCTGTTGAAATTTCGACTATAAGCTTAAGCTTTACTACCTTATCCATCTATAAACTAATTTAATCTTTACAGTGTCCGAACAGAGAGTTTCGTGTCATTGACAAGTTCTGTATTCTCCTCTCTTTGCTTGTTTGTGGTGCACTTTCGACAGCCAAAAACGGGTTTGGCATTTTGTCCTTTGATTAGTGGTTTTGGCATAAGAAATTCAATTTGCTCTTTCACCAAGTAAAGTAGTAATGCAGAGTGCAGACTACTGGGTTGCAGATAATGCATTGTTATTCTCTTTTCTTTTCTGCTTGAACCCACTTTGTGAAAAGTAGAACCAATCGATCTCAGGTAGAAAAGTAAAGGCAAAAGTTCAGTTCTTTTGATGAGCATCTCTATGTGCATTCGTCCACTCTGATTCCTGCAATGGGTGGTAAGATATGGGTAGAAGTAAGTCTCATCTCTGCTCGAGGCGTTAGGCGTTCTTATTCCCTCTGGAAGAGGCAGTTGTTTCCTGCTGTTTGGATTGTTCCCGATAACAAGTGCTGCACGCCTGCACCAACATCGCAAAAGATGGCTCTGGAAATGCAAACCCCACATGGAAGACCAAGTTTGCTGCTTTGCTGGATGATACGATTTCCAGGACATGGCGCTAACTGTTGAAGTCTATAGTCAAGAGCCCATTTTCCTCAGGGAAAGCCTTTGAAGGGACCGCGACCATCCTCTTTGAAGAGTCTCTGGCAAAGTACAGCAACAAGAAGGCCTCCTCCTCATCTGGGTCTGAAGAAGTCGGGAGCTACCAGCTGTCCAAACGAAACTCTAACAAACCCCAGATTTTGTTGATGTTTCGATCCGGATCACCGAGGAAAGAGAAGAACCTAGTTCACACCTGGTTACAGGTACTCGTGGAATTGTCTTGTTGCATGCAATGTAGTAAAAATCCCAAGTCAACTCCTATGCTTGCTAGTACATCAATGAACTTGGTAGAATTTACGCTGTATATGCTTCTACCTCTATTTCATGATTGCATATTTGGACAGGTTACGCTTATCGATATTGCATATGGATATCACGATCTTGTTATGGTACTATTTGGCAAAATTTGCAGGGTGTCTTGGAACTTTTATGCGATTGGTAAGATTAAAATCTTTAGATTCTTGGATTCCAGCTTACAACTCAAATTTTACATAGGTTTTTGATTTCGTGTATGTAGACTTTATAGTTTGACTATCTGGGATGTTAATGAATGAACGCTGAATGTTCAAGAGTTGTGATTTCGTGTATGTGAACGTTATGAGATGCGTCAGGAGACAGTGCGTATGGCTCTGGAGGTTACCGGAGACAAGATAGCTCCGAGAAACCTGCTTATGGGATGCGCCACAATGATGATTACGATCACGATGACAAGGAGGAGTCTCGCAGCCAGTATGGCTATGGTAGTGGTGAAGAAGGCTATGGCCGCAAGAAATATGTAAGCTTTTCACACACCCTTTTTCATTTGGCTGCTTGAATATCTATGTGGCTTCGATATTGGCATATTGCTAAGTAGTTCATCCATTTCTGATTTACTTTCCAATATGGAAGTTTCATTTTTGTTCGTTGCTGCAGTGACTGATTTTCTACCACAAGGTGGAAGCTTTTTATGATAACTATATCTTTGGTATTGGGAAACAAGCTGAAATTTGGTTGTATAATTGGACCTGATAATTGGTGCTTGACGAGTTATACGTGTAGAGGTTATTGAATTTTGAAATGAGTGATTAGTTTGTGTAAGTTACTCTCTGTTGCTCCTTTTATTGAACCTCCTAGTTTTAGTTATGTTTGGCCTCGCTCTGTTTGTTGATTATTGGATGGTTTTCTTCTCTTTTTCCATTCTCTTGAGGTTTCTCTTTCTACATTTCACTGATGGAATTGGTGCACATTCTTTTCTTACAGGGTCATTTCAAAGAGCTCTTATTAGAGCATGCACCACCTCCTCCCGCCCTTGCTGAATTCGCCATTGCGAACTTGATCAAGATGGGTATTCCACAAAGAGCAGCAGAAGGTTCTATAGCAATTTGCTCCTGCCACAGAGAAGCTAAAGTAGGTGAATGGTATATATGGCCAAGATGGGGTAGATGCTTATCTCATCACCCCATCTAGCTAGATCTTATCAAAATCTTTTCCCAATCGAGCCATTCATCGAGGTATCTGCACGCCAATTGGAATTGAGCAGAGTAGCTTCAAAAACTTGCTTCAGTTGTCGAGAGAGCCTTCTCACTCCTGGTAGGTTATGCTAATACAAATGTTCTATTTGCAATGTTATCTGCTGGAAATCAATATACGTGGATAGTTTTTGGCAGTAGACTCGGGTAGTGAGTTACTTTAGCAAGAAACTAGCAGTATAGATCATGCACGACTGAAGTTGGTTATATGTAAGATTTACGAGCTATTTCTCTGGTGCTACCACTTGGGGGCTATAAAATCTGCTGCTGGCACTATACTTACTTTTTGAGTTTGTAATGTCTTGACTGTTTCTTGGTTTTCTGAAATAGTTTTGTGAACATAACAGTGGAATCTTCTATGAACTGCATTGTGTTTCATTCGATACTTCTTGTATTTCATATGTCAGTAGATTCTGAAAGTTTCACGGCTAGGAACCTCACGGTCGTTAGAGCAACCGTGAAAGAAGAAATTGTCCCCCCAGCACTCCTCCTGGAGTTCTCATGCCCTGTGTTGGATATTCTCACGGCCGTGAGATTAGTCCGGGAAAATATTAAATTGATCCCTTGTCTCCAGAAGTTCTCACATTGATCCCTTGTCTCCAGAAGTTCTCACGGCCTACTTAATTGTATCACCCGCCCGTGAGATCGAACCTGTGCCATTGGCCCTCGAAATAGCAACCTTAACCACTCGGACTGCATCAATTTATTTGGGGCTTAATTGCAAGTTTGGTCACTCGAATTGCTATAAAATTTCATGTTTGCCACTCAAATTAATTTATTCCATTTATAGTCACTCGAATTAGTTGAACAGTTCAAGTTCGGTCACTCTCCCTTAACCTCCGTTAACTTTGACTGACGTGGCGGTCAACTCTGACAGTTGACCGTTAAATGTGTGACGTGGCAAATAAAAAATAATTAAAAAATAAAAATTAAATTTTTAGAAATTACACACATTAAATGGGTTTTTGGTTTAACCCATCTAATTGTCAACCAATGTGAGTTGGGTTTAGGGTATATGGCTGAGTGACCGTTTGATTACGATTTTGGGTTTAACCATTCTAATTGTCAACGGATGTGAGATTGAATTTAGGGTATATGGTTGAGTGACTGTTTGATTATGGTTTTGGGTTTAACCCATCTAATTGTCAACCGATGTGAGATTGAGTTTAGGGTATATGATTGGCTAACCATTTGATTACGGTTTTGGGTTTAACCCATCTACTTGTTAACCGATGTGGGGTTGGTTTACAGTATATGATTGAGTGAGCTTTTGGATTACGGTTTGGGTTGAACACATCTAATTGTCAACCAATGTGAGATTGGGTTTACGGTATATGATTGAGTGAGCTTTTGATTACGGTTTTGGGTTTAACCCATCTAATTATCAACCAATGTGAGATTGGGTTTAGGGTATATGGTTGAGTGACTGTTTGATTACGGTTTTGGGTTTAACCCATCTAATTTTCAACCGATGTGAGATTTAGTTTAGGGTATATGGTTGAGTGACCGTTTGATTACGGTTTTGGATTTTAACCCATCTAATTGTCATCCGATGTGAGATTGAGTTTAGGGTATATGGTTGAGTGACCGTTTGATTACGGTTTTGGGTTTAACCGTTCTAATTGTAAACCGATGTGGGGTTAGTTTACGGTATATGATTGACTGAGCTTTTGATTATAGTTTGGGTTGAATCCATCTAATTGTCAACCAATGTGAGATTGGATTTACGGTATATGATTGAGTGAGCTTTTGATTACGGTTTTGGGTTTAACCCATCTAATTATCAACCAATGTGAGATTGGGTTTAGGGTATATGGTTGAGTGACTGTTTGATTACGGTTTTGGGTTTAACCCATCTAATTTTCAACCGATGTGAGATTTAGTTTAGGGTATATGGTTGAGTGACCGTTTGATTACGGTTTTGGATTTTAACCCATCTAATTGTCATCCGATGTGAGATTGAGTTTAGGGTATATGGTTGAGTGACCGTTTGATTACGGTTTTGGGTTTAACCGTTCTAATTGTAAACCGATGTGGGGTTAGTTTACGGTATATGATTGACTGAGCTTTTGATTATAGTTTGGGTTGAATCCATCTAATTGTCAACCAATGTGAGATTGGGTTTAGGTTATATGGTTGAGCAAACGTCTGATTACGATTTTGGGTTTAACCCATCTACTTGTTAACCGATGTGGGATTGGTTTACGGTATATGATTGAGTGAGCTTTTGATTACAGTGTGGGTTGAGCTCATCTAATTGTCAACTAATGTGAGATTGAGTTTAGGGTATATGGCTGAGTGATCGTCTGATTATGGTTTTGGGTTTAACCGTTCTAATTTTGGGTTGGATACATCGATCGTAAATTCCCATAAAATTCGTACCTCGGCGAGTTACCCAGCCACAACATTCCCTTCGTCGCCACCCCATCACCGAGATCTGGGGGTTCTCGATCCAAGTCGCAAGCGCTTCAATCAACTACTCCTCCGCCTGCCCAGCCACCACTCGGTTCACCTCCGCCGCCACTTGTCCCGACCCCTTCTCAACCACAGCCATCCTCCATCCCACCCATGTCCTCCGCCGCCTCCAGAGTAGCTCAACGCAGATGCGCTAGGACCATATTAAAGCGAAAATTCGTACTGCTCGCTCAGCTATGAAAGGGTGCGTCATTTGGAAACTGGCGCCCCCTCCCTTCCTAACCCGTGCTGCTGCTACGTCATTCTCTCCCCCCTCGCCTGGTGGCTAGTTGTTTTGTGAAGAACGGCGTAGTTGAGGTGCGTGGAATGCTCTTCTGCACTCATTCATTGAATTGATGTTCTTGTTTTGTCGAGCTTTTTTTTGGGTATATAGTGATCGTTGTTGGTGATCTTCAATTTTTCTGTTGTTCTTTGATTTCAGTTCAGCTCGATCCGCTCCATCTAGAAGCAAGGACGGAGTTCGCGTACCGCGGCGGCGGCGGCGAAAGAGGGTATAATTTTGGCGCCTGCTATGTTGTGTGACTCGTAAGGGACGGATTGGCGTTGAGATTTGGTCGTATATTTTGGGTTTCCTTCCGATTTCAGAGCTCTAGAAGGGTTGGTGTTTCTTGAGTAGCTCTGCTTCGAGGGCATCCATAACTTGGATTTATACATGGCTTTCTCGTTGTAGCCTTGTTCCGTGTCTGTTCTTCTCTCTTCTCGCCAAGCGTAAGCTAGCATTCTCCTGTTTATGTATGTTCTATTGATTGTTGAATGCTAAGTTGTTACCCTTTACTGCTGTTGTGCTAAGTTGTACCTTCAACTATTGTTGGTAGATGATCCTATGCTTAGATAGTCCTCCATGGCTGTTCAGGGCAGAGACCAACCAAAGCCAGTCTACTATAGCTTCTGTAGGCTTGCATCAGATTGTTGATTTCTAGGTCGATACAATTTGTTGACATGTAGGTAGATTGCATTAAGCATATTCTTCGCCTCAGGACTATTTATAGCGACCATTCTTACATTATTTCCAGAAGCCCAACCCCAAAACCAAAACGAAAATAGTCACTTAGCTTGTTGATTTTCGAAAGACTCAAAATGATAAGGAAGCCAGCGACCCTCTTCTCTGCTTCTCTTGCGCTTTTGACGTTCCAATGTTTTAGGGTTCTCTGTGTCGCCCAGGACTTCGATTTCTTCTACTTTGTCCAACAGGTATGTGCGGTTTACATATATATAGCCAGCCGAACTATTTCTTCTAGTTCCATCCATAACGTGGTCTCTTCTCTTCTCTTCTCTTCTCTTCTCTTCTGTGTGTGTGTGTGCAGTGGCCCGGAGCCTATTGTGACTCGAGGCAGAGATGCTGCTACCCAAAGACAGGCAAACCCACAGCCGATTTCGGGATCCATGGTCTCTGGCCTAACTACAAGAACGGCGCCTACCCTTCCAACTGCGACCGTGACAGCGTCTTCCACGAATCACAGGTTGGTTGGAATTAATTACCGCTGTGTCAGGATTTGGAAAACCTTGCAGGGAATGTTTCAGGATTTGCCCGTCAGGTTATTCGACCAAGATTCGCCTTAATCTTATTACAATACTATAGACAAGTGGGTGTTGGCCAATAAAACAATTTATACATTGTCACGATTCAAATACCCTGACTCAAAGTGCACCGTGGTCTTTTACACGAGTGGACATGATGTGCATTGTTCTTGTGGCATTTTTGAGTTCTGCGGAATTCCATGTCGGCATATATTCTATATATTGAAAGAAGAAAATCAAATACAAATTCCCAAGTCACTCATTTTGAAGCGTTGGACTAAAAATGCAAAAGAGTTCGATCCTCGAGTATTGGAAGCTGTCCTACCCAGCAAAATATTAGCAGTCATTATAAATTTAAGCTGCTGATTTAGTTCTTTGTTTACTTCTATTGTACTTCGAACCAACTACAAAAGTGCTTGTTTATTTGGACAGGTTTGGATTCTTGGTTGGTCAATGTAGTAGAATGTGCCATTATGCTGTGAGTTCAGATGAAGCATTTCATACTGCCAAAGGGTTGATTGAAGACTTGACCTTGCGAGTGAAGACAATAAGTGAAAAAACAACCAGCAAAACAAATAATGCTACTACGGATGCTAGAGTGAACTCCTCTCAGTTTATTAAGGACCCCCCATCCAGTTCGAAGTAAAGGGAATGTGAAGCAACCTCAAGTAAAAAGACGGTTGTGCAAGTATTGTAGGCGTCCTAAACATACAATCAGAAATTGCCCGCTGAAAAGAATGGTTGAAGCAGGTGCATGTGATAGTCATTTCACGCAAAAAGAACACAACTTCGAGTCCATAGGAGCAGGTGAAAGCAACTTTCATGTGGAGACTCAAGAATGTTTTCTACTTCCCATACGATCCAAGCACAACCTATAATGCTCGTGTCTAGCTTCAAAGA